AATAAGGAATTTCAGAAACAGAGTGTAGGATTTTTTTCTCCGTCAGTCTCGTTACAAGAAAACTCCGGAAATTTGTTGAAGTAACCAACCAACAGTATGTGTCATCTTTTAGGACAAGTTTGGAATGGTGCGATGGAATTCAGTCCTTTTTAAAGCCCAATTGCGTTGTAGGATGTATTTTGCAAGGGTATCATCTTGCGATGCAGTTAGCTCCATTACAAAAGGATTTAGTGAAACAATCATATTAGTGTAAGAATAACAAGACAAATATTTTTCAGTTATACATAAGGTTGGTAGCCAACTCGATAGCCCAACTCGAGTTTCACGGATTTTCACTTGACTTGATTATATAAGATTGATTTTTTTTTTTGAAAATTTGAATTTATGTCGTATCAAATTGAGTATTATTAAGAGAAAATTTGATTTGGATCGAATTCAAATTTTATATAAACTCGACTCAATTCAATATTATATTAAAAATTATTTTTTAATTTTTTATTTATATATAATTGTATAATTATATATTTATATATTAAAAATAATATTTTATTAATTTTTATTGAATCGAGTACGATTTATATAATATTAAATCAGATCTGATTTGGATATAAAAAAATAAAAAAAAATTAATCGAATTTAAGTTTTTTTATTATAAAATTCAATCGAATTCGAAATGAATAAAAATTCATTTTGAATCGATTTGTTGTCATTTTTAATTTATACACTTAGTGTGATAGTCTATTGTCTTATTCAATTTTATCATTATTACTATATTTATATCAAAATATATATTTATTATTAATTTTAAGTTTATAATTATAATATTTAATTTTATTATTATCATTATTTTCAATCTTAAGATCTTACCTTCCATTCAAAATCTACTCTTAGACGTTCTGCAAGATGGCATTTCCTCGGGGCCACATTAAAATTCTTTCTTAGGTTGAACATAAATTTCAGGTATCTTTTTACAGTATTTTGTCATGGCTATGAGGTCATTTTTGTTCCACGAAAGTGTTTGCCAGACTGGATGGCTAGTACAATCTCATCAAGTGATTTGGCCAGGTTAATGTCCCAATGCATGAGTGACAAATTTATGCCTTCACTGAAAATTTCCTGGCAACTGATTATCTTTTAACAGGGCACTCACGCTGTAGGATCCCCATATCTTTCTCTCTATCTCTAACCACAAGCAATAATACCAACTCCACTTGCAATCGTTTAGCAGAGAAAAGAACAAATCGGCATGCAAGTCCTTTCCGTCAATTTCTGGTCTTTACTTATTTCCTTTTCCCCCCTCTCATCGATTTAGTCACATGTATTATGGTTCTTTTCCCGAACCTGTCTTTCCTTCACTTTTTATAAGGATAACAGTCACCATTCAAAAAGATATTTACACAAGATATTTCTGTTTGCTCATTATCACACTATTGAAGACCATAAGTTGCTCCCTTCCCCTCTAGCAAGGCAATGAAGGTCTTCCGTATTTGCTCTTACACCGTAAGTAATGGCATTCGCTTACCTATCTGTAGCATTAATGCTGACATTGTCCCAAGGCAAGTAGTCTTAGACATAAATTTTACGGGACCCACAAATTGTGGGTACCAACCTTTCATGCATGAGTGACAAATTTATGCCTTCACTGAAAATTTCCTGGCAACTGATTAACTTTTCACAGGGCACTCACGCTGTAGGATCCCCATATCTTTCTCTCTATCTCTAACCACAAGCAATAATACCAACTCCACTTGCAATCGTTTAGCAGAGAAAAGAACAAATCGGCATGCAAGTCCTTTCCGTCAATTTCTGGTCTTTACTCATTTCCTTTTCCCCCCTCTCATCTATTTAGTCACATGTATTATGGTTCTTTTCCCGAACCTGTCTTTCCTTCACTTTTTATAAGGATAACAGTCACCATTCAAAAAGATATTTACACAAGATATTTCTGTTTGCTCATTATCACACTATTGAAGACCATAAGTTGCTCCCTTCCCCTCTAGCAAGGCAATGAAGGTCTTCCGTATTTGCTCTTACACCGTAAGTAATGGCATTCGCTTACCTATCTGTAGCATTAATGCTGACATTCTTAGCACGAAATTGCTTTGCTTGTGTTTTCCATATGCTGAATTTCATGGATGCATTTGTCTTTGCAGTCTCTGTTTTTCTTTTCTTGTTTCTTTGATTGTTATTGTTTACCTAAGGTTGAAGAACGGAATAACTTGAATTGCTTTTGCTGAATTTTTAATCTAGGTAGTCAACAACTTTTATGTTTGGAATCTTATTATTTTTGACTTTGAAAGTTTGCTTGCAATAATATGCTGAACGTCTTACCATGTTAGGTGTCTCAGTCTTCCAGTCATACAGTACAAGTTGGTGGCAAATCATTTTCCGTCGTCAGGTTAGGTGTCAAGAAGATTCCTACTATATTCTATCTCTTAATATAGCTAAAGCGGTTGTCATTCAAATTTTCTTTCAAGGAAGTGCATTAGAAATACGTGCAGACCAAGTATTCGGTTTGTCTCTTTGGTGCTTTACTTACAAACATGACCGTTCTTGAGTTGTGTCAATGTCCCAAGGTGGGAAAAATGTCTGTAAATTCAGAAATTTCCACTAGGCAAATTGAGAAATGGTTGCCCCATCTGTTTGTTCTCCCACAGGCCAAATTTGCTGTGTCTGGTGCCTGCAGTTGAAGGGTACTAGTATCTCCCCACTCGTTAGGGCAGGGATTAACATTTCATCAGCAATGAACTTTTCTCATTGCTTTGGTTTTTGGGCCTATTCAAAATTATCATGATTTAACTGACCTAATGCTCCAAAGAAAATTGTTACTGTCCTTCTGGTTGCTTATTTTCCATGCAGTAGCATTTTCAGTTCGGGAAAAATGAGTTACAAAATTCACTTTTAGTTGCTTAAGAGCATATCACATATAACAATTATATTATAATTAATTAATTATAATTTATAATTATGTAAGATCTATTAAGATTTTGTATGAACTCTATGTTTGTAAGTAATTGATATAGTTTTTTATTATAATTAAATAATTGTAAAATTATAACCAAAAAAATTACAATTAAAATGCTCTCCGATTGCTCTTTCTGTGCATTTACTTTACTTTATTTACTAGTTTTTTTTTTTTTTTTTGAATGAAATGAGGAGTATTATTTATATATATATTGTCAGTAAATGGGAAATTAGGAATACAATATAAAAATAAGTAAAAATAATATTACTAGAAATATGTAAATGTAAAGTGCAAAAGGTAGTATGTCCCTAAAAACATTTTTTATGAGGATTAATTTTATCAAAGAAAAATAGAATTGCAAAAGGTAAAGCTTCTTCAAGAAAATAAGTATAAAAAAAGGGTTAAAATGTTGCTATTAAAAACGGTTAATTTTGTATTGTGTTAATAGAATATTGAATTTTTAATTTCAACAAAAAAGATTTAAATTTTGATAACTTAAGAGAAATTATTTGATATATTAATATTAGAATATTTTAATTGTTTAAATAGGATTAAAATAGTGATACATATTTTATTTTTTAAAATTAATTTTTTATTTTTTAAATATATACTAAAAAAATATATATCATCATATTAATCTTAGTTGTAAAGTTAAAAAATTTTACTTATTTAATAATTTCCTAACTTTAAATAAAAATATTAATAAACATGGAAAATTAAAAAAAAATAGGAAAGTTAGTGAAATAAGAGGATTTAGGATAATATATAGTACGGGACTAAAATTGTTGAGAATTTTTTTAAAATGTGAAAAGTATTATTAGATGATATTGCACAAACGTTTTACATAATTTTTTTTTTTTAAGGTGAAAAGGGTTGGGATGCGTTGAATATAATAAAGACAAATTAAATGCTGTGCAAAGTTGAAACAACTCAAAGGTTCATGTTTATCATTTTTAGGGATACCTAATACGGGGCTAAAATTGTTGAAAGATTTTTTTTAGATGTGAAAAGGATTATTAGATGATATTGCACAAAGTTTTATATAAATTTATAAGGTGAAGAGGGATTGGATGTGTTGAATATAATGAAGACCGATTAAATGCTGTTCAAACTTGAAACAACTCGAACGGTTCGTGTTTATCATTTTTCTCGCTTTTCTTTATCCTTTTTCTTCCTTTTTAGTAAGAGTATACCTAATTTGACTTACTAGTCGTCCTTCTCTTGGACCGACAGTTCGACCTATCATCCCTTTTCTTAGATTTTTCTTTTATATATATATATATATTTATGTGGAATAAGATGTTTTGACTTGTTTGAAATTGTTGGTTGTTGGCTTGTTGCATTGTACTGGCATACTGTTTTGAATTTTTTTCGACAATTTATAGTGAATTTAAGAGACAACTTTAATATTAATTAACACGTTTTTCTTTTTAAAAGAACTAAAATTTGCATTCATTTAGTTTCATTAGAATAATAATAACTCATGAAAAAAAGCCAAAATGTTGGGTTGGAAACGAGCTGTATTGATGGTAATATTATCGGTAAGGACTTTTATCAGATTTTATATTTTATTTTGCATGCAACTTTACAGAAAGTAAATGTCAACGTTATTACTTTCTATCTATTGTGTCTTGAGTCACTTTCTTCGATATTACAGGAACTCCAAACAGATATGTACTTGTCACATTATTATTTTTTTTAATTTATGTGACGGCTCCTGTTTTCTCTCGATTTTACCTTCTAGAGAAAGCTGTGTTTTCAAGGGTAGTACGTTGATATCGTGAACCTTTTGACAAAACCAGCAAACGACAATGGCTAAAGCTTAAATATGAGCTTTTGTTTGCTTCCATTGAAAAGAAAAAAAAGGGGTTCAACTATTGTTTTCGTTGTTGGTTTTAGAAAATAGGAGAAGCTTAATTTTTATAAATATTATATGTAAAGAGATTTGATGATTTTTTTTTCTTTGAAAAATACAAACTTTTCTTACAACTTTTTTTCTCACTTAAAAAATGCCCAAAATAAATTAAAATTGAAGCGGTTCAGATTTCTGTAGAATTACTATAATATTCCGATAAGGCCAGGAAAAATGTTTATGTGGTCTTACCGGATGAGGACCCACCAAGGAACGTGTAGGAAAAACCAGAAGATCATTCCTAATTGCTTTCGTCAGCGAATTTTTAGTAATCATGATTTAAACATCGTATTAAATTAGTTTATTTGATTGATATGTCCCATTTTAGTACATCTTACGAGGTTTTGGATTAGTATTTTACTGTACTTATTTTCTTGGTTTTTTTTGTTGGTAAAAAATTTTCTTTCAGTTTTCAACTGGATCTTGCTTTCTCCCTGGTGTCACTTCAGCTGCATGGCTGGTTTTATGTACCCAAATAAAGATTTCACAAGAATTGCGTTCCTTCATTACTTTTTCTCTTGCTATGATAAATCTCTCCCACCCACCCCTCCACTCTGGAAATTTCCTTCTCTTTCTTAACCTTTTTTCTTATCTAACCGTTTGCTGCTTCAGTCTTAATTGAGACAAAAGTTCATGTATTGCAGTAAAGCATAACTAGGCCAGCTTTTCATATAGCAAATCTTGGTTTTTTGCTCGGAGGATTTGGTCGTAAAGGTAGGGATTGAATTTTTTTTCTTGTTTCACTATTTTTTTTTTTCTGTTTGAGTATGTTAAGTGAGACTCTGAGTTTTACTAAAACTTTCAATGTTTTCACTTTAACCCAAAAAAAAAAAAAAACTTTTGATGTTTACCTTTATGCTATAGATTGGATTTTAATCTGAATGATGGGTTCTAGATGAAGCGAAGCGGAGAGCGCTATGGATGTTATTTTCTCTAATGTTTCTGCTCTGCTAATGTATAATTCTTATTTTTTGTTTTTTTTTTTAATTCTGTGACGACATTTGTACATTTGCTATATTGGAGTTTGTTCCAAAAGAAATCTTTGGCTTTAATTATTTTAAGACTTCAAGGTAGACCCCATTTTTGCATCAAATTCTGTGGATCCCATTTTCTTTGTTATCTTTTCCTCGGTTTTTCTGTCTTTTTGCGTGTATGTTGTTTGATACTTATTCTATTAGGTTTAGGCAATCACAAGTTTTTAACTGCAATAGAAATCTTAGTAAGTGTTTGTACAAAATCATTGGCAGCGTAATCTTGTTTTCTTAGTACCTATCAAGGAAGATATGGAGCTCTCTGTGGCTTATGCTAATTGCTAAGACTTAATTTACCTAAAACAAAAATGTAGGACATACAATTGTTCAGTGAGCTTGTAAAAATTGGTATTGGTGGTTCGGTTCTAGAGTGAGCGTATGCCTGGAAACAAGTACAACGGTAATTCTGGCCATATACCATCTCGCGTTGAACGCCTCTTGCGGGACAGGGAGCAAAGGAAAAGCAGCAGGGCTTCCCATTCAAATGAGGTGATTGAGAATCATAGAGGTGCTGTATCTGAAAATGGCCCACGTATTAGAGAAGGGGACAACCCTGGGGTTCCTTTTGTCGAGCAATACTTGGAAGACGCTGAGGGATACGAAAGACAAGATGGAAGGCCTTTCAGGCAGCGATTGTTGGTAGTGGCCAATAGGCTCCCAGTTTCTGCAGTTAGGAGAGGTGAAGACTCGTGGTCTCTGGAAATAAGTGCTGGAGGTCTAGTTAGCGCTCTCCTGGGTAAGATATTGGCTAGCTGGTGGACTTGGTTCATTTGACCACATTCTTGCATTCTCCATAATGTGAAGCTAATCATTTAAGATGAATTTTCCAGGTGTGAAGGAGTTTGAGGCAAGGTGGATTGGATGGGCTGGCGTAAATGTTCCAGATGAGATTGGACAAAAGGCACTCACTAAAGCTTTAGCGGAGAAGGTATTTAGTTGCATTGGAAAGATCTTTTTGAATTCAACCTGATTATATGTGATATAAGCCATTTAGATTGAAGGCACTTATCATTGCAGAGGTGTATCCCAGTCTTCCTTGATGAAGAGATTGTTCATCAGTACTATAATGGTTATTGCAACAACATTTTGTGGCCTCTTTTTCATTACCTTGGACTTCCCCAAGAGGACCGCCTTGCTACCACTAGAAGCTTCCAGTCCCAGTTTGCAGCATACAAGAAGGCAAATCAAATGTTTGCTGATGTTGTAAACACACACTATGAAGAAGGTGATGTTGTCTGGTGCCATGATTACCACCTCATGTATCTTCCAGAGTGCCTGAAGAAATACAATACCAAGATGAAAGTTGGTTGGTTTCTCCATACACCATTCCCTTCTTCTGAAATTCATAGGACATTGCCATCCAGATCTGAGCTGCTACGTTCAGTCCTTGCGGCTGACTTGGTTGGGTAAGTTTCTGCTGCATTTTGCTGACTTGTGTTATTTCACTCTGTATCAACATGCTCGATATATTTTATTTGTTTGGAATATAAGTTATCAATCTGTATTGATTGATATAACCTGGATAGGCATAGTGTAGCTAGATTATTTTTAGTCATAGCCCTATCTAACCCCCAACTTTTTTCTGTTTACCATTTCTTTGTACTTATGCCTGGCCCATATTATTCTCAATTTGGAATGTATGGTGGACCTTCCAATGGTAGTTCTATTGCACTCACATTGTCTCAGCTTGTTCAATTTAATGATTTTAATCTGCAAATTCTCTAAGGTTTGGCTGTTGTGGAAACATGTAAATTTGATTTAGGGTAACTAACATATGCAGTAGTTTAAAGAAACAGGAATATGTGGCTTCAGAGTTGCAGGACCTCTGACAATTGAACTTTCTGAAAATCTACTGCAAAAGTTGATGTTTATTATTGAATAAAAGTTGACCAAAGAAAAATATGTGTTAAGTTGTTGCTTGGATTTTAGATGGATTAAGTTTGATTCTTATAGGTCTTCATGTTTTATCAATTGCTTGACTTCGAAGTAGTTAGTTACCTTCAATTATATCATCTTTGAGAGTGTGTTTGTAAGAACTTATATCACTATTAGCCTATGGTGCAGATTGGCCATTGTTTTTATTTTGTATTCTTTGTTTCAGTTTTCATACCTACGATTATGCCAGACATTTTGTTAGTGCCTGTACTCGAATCCTTGGACTTGAGGGGACACCTGATGGGGTTGAGGATCAAGGGAGGCTGACTCGTGTTGCTGCAGTATGTTTAACTTTCTTTAGATTTTTTCACTTGATTGTTCCTATGCCTTTATTTTCTTCCTAGGTTGTTGCTTTTGGTTTGTACAGAAAATATTAGTATTAAACATGTTTTTTCTTGCAAATGAATTGCAGTTTATCCCTATACTTATTTTTTTGGTACTCTAATTGCTTGAAATTTCAGTTTCCTATTGGGATAGACTCAGATCGGTTCATACGTGCACTTGAGCTTCCTCAGGTCCAGGAACACATCAAAGAATTAAAAGAAAGGTTTGCTGGCCGAAAGGTAGATGCTATATTTACTTTGTGCCATTAGTATATTCTTCAATTTCTTGATCTTGTTTATTTGCTGTTTAGTATGCTTATTTTTAACATTCTGGACTTGACAGGTAATGCTTGGTGTTGATCGTCTTGATATGATTAAGGGAATTCCCCAAAAGATACTGGCATTTGAAAAGTTCCTTGAGGAAAATTCTAGCTGGCGTGATCAAGTGGTTTTGCTGCAAATTGCAGTGCCAACAAGAACTGATGTTCCTGAGTGTATGCACCTTGCTTTACCTTCCTTCTCTTGTTTCTAGCTATTTTCTCCAATACCGTTTATGTATTGGTTCCAGGTATAGTATATTTCTGGAGTTAGTTTCGCTTTACAAGAAGTATAATCCATCCTACATGATTTGCTATTATTATTTTTTAATATTCTTTTGACTTGCATCCTTGGGTAGGACGTAGGAGTTGGTGGGTGTTTTTAAACGTGACCTGCCTGGGGATTGTCAATTGTCTATTTCTTACTCATGGGGAATCGAGAGAAACTCCGGATGTTGTTGTACTGGCTGTATTGGTTAGCAAATAGAGCTAGTACTGGTTAGCAAATAGAATCTTTAGAGGGAAAAGTGCAGGCCACAACTTGAGCTTGTGTTTTTCATTCCCTTGCTGTACTGAATATGATATCATCAATTGCATACTAAAATATGTTGAGAAAGGTCAATTAACTTATGACATCAAACATTTCTGTCATTTTACTTCCTTGGAGATTCAAGCTTTGATATTGAAATCTTCGATTCTAATTCCACAATTCCTTACCTGATATATATTTTGCTTTCCAACTAAAGTTGAAGATAGTTAACATTCTTATCTTTACAGTGATACTGATTCTTCAAAAAACTTGTTTATGTTTCTTTTTCCAATGAAAAAAGAATTTGATATGGTTTGCTATTGACTCTAGAAGTGTATGCACAAGGGAGAAGATAATGTTGTAAACATTATTTTGCAGATTTCTTTGAGGTCATCATTCATGTTGAATTTGGCCACATTATTTTAACCTTTAATATTATCATCTTTCTTCTTCTTTCTTCTTAACATGTTGGGCTGAATGTTATTCTTTGTTTTACTCACTGTTGGTCACAGACCAGAAACTTACAAGCCAGGTTCATGAAATTGTTGGGCGTATTAATGGTCGATTTGGAACATTGACTGCAGTTCCAATACATCACCTGGTCTGTCTTTGACAACCTAATTGATAGTTAATGCTTGTGATCCGTTGTTTTTATTATCTTCTTCTAGCTTCATGGATACTATGATATGAATCATTTTGCTTGTAGGATTTTTGTTGCCTTGTACTTAATGTACCATTTATCTTTTGTCATCCTCTTTTGAAATTATCAAAACAGCTGGGTTGCTGTTATTCAGGTGGGAGAGAAAATATGCAACATCTTGACCAACGTAAATGTTAAAGAGTAGCAGTTTGTTTGAGAGTTTAAGGGAAGAGAAAGTAGAACAGAGCAGAGGAAACAATTCTCTTTTTCCTTGTAGAGTGGAGTGGATGATTTATCATTAATTGGTTTTATCCAGTATTAACAGTCTGGCCCAAACTTGAGTCCTTACAAAATTTAAATTTTGTGGTGGCATTTTGATCTCCGAATCCTCCACCCAAGAACTCAAAAACATGGGAGTAAAATTTTTACCTTCACTCCATTCTCAATAGCCTACCCCTTCAAAAAAATCTAATAAAAATTGACCATAAGTTTTTGTAGATATATTCTCTGTCCTCTTAGTTGGATTATGTGGTGTATAGCCTTGGGAAGATAGGTACTTTTATTGAGTATCTTTGAAATGCACAGGAAGTACTTGCCTTTAGTGGATATTGTGAGATAACATTGTTCAAAACTTTCATTTTTATGTGAACTTGCTAGACCTAGACTGAGAAATATTAATGTATAGGGGAATGATATATTGTATGTGCTATAAAATAAATTCTACTCGTTATGATAGGTCAAATTTCAAACTGTGATTTGTCTTATCCATAACTTGATGTATCTTAATTTGTTAAGATTGAATCTATTCATGATTGTAGGTTTTCAATTTCCTGGTTTTATCTGTGGGTTTCTACCAGTGTTAGTTTGCATTGTGTTCTCACACAGCAAGATAGATCATATTTTATGTTTTCTTTGTTCTCATTGATTTTTAGTTACTGGGGAATGTTCTAATGCAATTTTTTCTGTCCACAGGATCGTTCTCTTGACTTTCATGCACTATGTGCATTATATGCTGTTACTGGTACTGATTCAATTGGATTTATCCTATTCTTCAATTTATTTGTTTGATTCTAAACATTTTTACCCTTGAACTTTTTGGAATGGGTCCCACTTGGCTTCTACTTTTGCTTTCAAGTTTTCTTCTATGGGTTCAGATGTTGATTGTTTTGATTGTATGTTGCAGTTGCAACTTCAGTTAGTGCTTAAGACACAAAAGATCCCACTTTCACTTCTGTTGGTGCTACAAGTAAAAAAGACCTTGATAAGTTATCATCCATGGAAAATGTGATTAGTTCATTGGCTATTTTTGGAAACAAATGTTTAAAATAATAATGTTTTCCATTGTTTTTTGGCACATAATCTTGATGCCTGCAATTTTTCAGAAACTTGGGACTCCTTTCAATGGATCTAGGGAAAGAGGCAGATACTTGTTAGTCATATCAGGAAAAATCCAATCATTGTGTGCAAAATAGGGGTTCTACTTGCATTTATAGATTCTATTATAAAGCTATTGTTGTTATGATTGCTAACTTTATCTATTGCATTTTCAATTGATTGAAACTTGTTCAGGTGCAATATTGTATCCTTGAATGTCAATTGATGTGATCATAGAATTAGCAATTGTGATGAATAGTATCCCTCAATATCTTTTATTTCTCAGTCTTTTAAATTCATGTGATAAGTGAACATCTGTTTTAGAATATTGGCTTATTGGCAACCTGCAAAGCTCATATGATGATAGTAATTTGGTCATGAACTTTACTAATTTTTTTGCAGGAAATGGCCTTCTTAGTACTAATATTTTCATTATACTATTATTTGGTTGTGGATTGCTTTCTATAAATAATGGATGAAGTTTCCTCCTTTCTTCAGATGTAGCACTTGTCACATCTTTAAGGGATGGCATGAACCTTGTCAGTTATGAGTTTGTTGCTTGCCAAGATGCAAAGAAAGGGGTCCTAATTCTCAGTGAAGTAATTACTTACTACTTAAAGTTTTCATTGTGCTATTTTTCGGTTGAATGAAACTAGTTTTCACCGTGCTTGTTTTTCATGCTGTATAGATGACCGTAGGTTGATGAACATTCTTGTTATTGGAAGTAATGATTACAGTATGTTCCTTTAGTTAGTGAAAAAGTTCCTTCTCTAACCTTGATCTCCTCGATGCATCTTGCAGTTTGCAGGTGCTGCACAATCTCTGGGTGCTGGAGCTATCTTGGTAAATCCTTGGAACATCACTGAAGTGGCTGCTTCAATTGGGCAGGCTTTGAATATGTCAGCTGAAGAAAGGGAGAAGCGACATTGCCATAATTTTCGTCATGTGACAATGCACACAGCTCAAGAATGGGCTGAAACATTTGTAAGGTATGCACATAATATTTGTGTCAAATTTTGAAATATAACATTTAGTTCTTTTTCTCTTGTATTAGAGCTCTGAAACTCTCCAGAAGATGATGATCGTGTAGGCCAGGCAATTTTTTCTCAATTTTTAGTGGTTAACTAGTTATATTTCACTTTCAATATTCATTTGAGTGTTTAAATATCCTTTGCTAAATCCAGGTCTGGATTTTCTTTATGAAAACTCTGGCAAAATAGAATTTTACTGTTAAAAACACCAATTTTGCTTTTAAAGCCTCACGTGAAAGTGAAAATTGAAGCATTTAGCTATTCCACATGTTCAAGTGCAACTAAAAGATGAGAATTTACTGCATTTCTTTAGCTCATTGCACTATGTTCTGTTCCCAATTTTATACAGAAGTTGATATGGTTTTACCATGGTCAACCTTCAACTGTTGGCTTCCATTGCATTGATGTACAGTATGAAAATATGCAATCTATTTTCAAATCTACCTAGCCAGAATCTTGTTTTTTTAGCCTTGGTCATATAGGAAACTAAATTGCCAGGTATACTGATTTATCTTTCAAACATGCAGATGGACTAGAAATTATCTTGATATAGGATTTTATTTATTTATATATAATTAAGATTATTAAATAATTAAGTTCTCAGGTTCCCACTAGTAGTGATGATTGTTACATTTCCCTTTATAGCCAATCTCGTCAATTGCATAGTTAATCATCGTATCTAGCTCAGGTTGTTTGTTGTCTTGTATTGGGCATTTATGTGGTCAGCCCATTTGGTTAGATCAATGGTATTGGACTTTTGCATAAGGGTGAACTTAAGTGTTATTATCCATATTGGTTAACTTTTGGCTTTGGTATTGCCAAGTTGGGTGTCTGTACCTCAGCCAGTTGCTTGTAGAATAGGTGCCTTACCAAGTATGAAATAGTTATCTTCTTTTCCTCTTTGAAATTTATGTCCGTCTTGTTATGCTGACTATGTCATGGAAAACTTACCAGGATTCACAGAGATTTGAGTTTCCTGTAACTACTTTGCAGTGAACTGAATGATACCGTTGTTGAAGCACAACTAAGGACAAGCAAAGTGCCTCCTGAGCTTCCACAAAATGATGCAATGGAACGTTATTTGCAGTCTTGCAATCGATTGCTGATACTGGTATAATTGTTTGATCTAGAATCTCTAAGTTATTTTAAAATGCCCCTCAGCTAGAAAAAGCATTAAGCCTGCAACTATAAGTTACATGTCAAGCCCATGGGGGTTAAGATGATGCTTGTCTCCAAAAGCAAGTAATATTTGACTGGCCTATTCTTTTAACATATTGTACATAATCTGACCATTGCCAGCACCGATTATTAATGTGATAATCTTAAGTTGTCTACTTCTGCCAGTGGAAATTGTGTTTCGTATTTTACCAATGTTGATAAATCCAATATATTTTAATGTGATGATCTTTGTGTTTTTTTTTTTCAAGAAAAAAAAAAGATGTTGTAAATCTACTGTGCTAAGTCCATTATACCGGATTTTCAGCAATTTGCTAGGTTTAGGTTTTCTTCCCCCCCACCCCTTTTCATTCTTTTCCTGGATGCATACCATTAATGTTGTATATATTTTCCATGTTTCCCTCATCTTGGGGATGGTCCAAAACTCAGGGTTTTAATGCAACGTTAACCGAACCTGTGGATACTCCTGGGAGTAGAGGTGATCAAATCAAAGAATTAGAACTTAAATTGCATCCAGAATTAAAAGAACCCTTAACAGCTCTTTGTAATGATCCAAAGACAACGGTAGTTGTCCTCAGTGGGAGTGACAGACGTGTCTTGGATAAGGTATGCTTGGCTTTCTTTCTTTCTTTCTCTCTTTTCTAACCTTGGCTTGCCCTCTATCAAAACCTCCTGATTGCTCTCACAGAACTTTGGGGAGTATGACATGTGGTTGGCAGCAGAAAATGGGATGTTTCTACGCCATACAAAAGGAAAGTGGATGACAACCATGCCGGAACACTTGAATATGGAATGGGTTGATAGTGTGAAGGTAATTAAATTGTACTTAATGTACCCTTCATCTAGTTTGTCTATTCCAGCCTCGTAATGATGCTGATGGCATGTTGGCAGCATGTTTTTGAGTATTTCACAGAAAGAACACCAAGATCACATTTCGAAGCCCGTGATACATCACTTGTATGGAATTACAAGTATGCAGGTATTTGGTCTGTTTGGTTTCCAAAGTTTTTGTTTTCATTGATTCTAATCCTGTCAGTCTGACCCTTCCTCATGTTTCCTTTCATGTTAATTTTTTTCTACAGACATTGAATTTGGAAGACTTCAAGCAAGAGATATGCTGCAGCATCTCTGGACTGGCCCAATTTCCAATGCATCTGTTGATGTTGTTCAAGGAAGTCGATCAGTTGAGGTGCGAGCAGTTGGTGTTACAAAGGTAACTGCCTCTCCACCATACCTAGATTTTGCATAATTTATTTGAATATTTTTAGTTTAATGGCATTGGAGAAGCCTGCATGCAGATTTGATATTTTCATATTTACTCAGGGGGCAGCTATTGATCGTATTTTAGGAGAGATAGTTCACAGTAAATCAATGACAACACCAATTGATTATGTCCTTTGTATTGGACATTTTCTGGGGAAGGTAATATTCTCATCAATCTTGATTTAAGCATATTTTTATTCAAAAGATTTGAAATTCTTCAAGAGGTGTCATATTAGCATATCTTAAACATGCCTTTTTAGAAACAAAGCAAGAATGTGATTAATTAACTTTTGAACTTCTCTCCTGGTTTTTTTAATGGTTAATTTGTTTGCTGTTTTAGTACCTATATTTACACTTTTGAGGTGTAATTTATGTTCTAGGATTAGCATACAAATAAGTTTAAGCTTGGTAGCATTTCTTTATTTTTCTACAAAAGCGCTGGAAGAGTTTAGTTGGACCATATGGTCATATGGTGAATCCCTTCTACCCCAGCAATGACCTTAAGTGACGATAAGCTCTTTAATTTGGTTAGAAATTTGAATGAATCACTAGCTTAAAGTTCAAATGAAAGGAATGCGGCACTTGCAATATGAGGTATTAGGAGAGACATTATGCAAAGCCTTAACCTTGCATTGCAATGAGGCTGATGTTAATATAGTTGGTTTTGTTTTAATTGGTCCATCATCTCAGATCCCAAAACAAATCCCATTCTGCAGTTCTCTAGACCTTGCATTTCTAGTTTAGAAGTACTATCAGCATTTGTATGAGATCAGGACCAATTATAGGTTTGTTTGCTTGTGACTTTTGCATTTTGCTACCTATGTTTTCAAAGTCTGTAAAAATGAAAAATCTACTAGCCAAAAACTAGAAGTCCTGTTAGGTTAAGAATGGTTAAAATGTGGGAGATTTAGATTTACAAAGCCTTAACTTGCCTTCAAATGAGGTTGCCTTCGAATAGAGCAATCTCACCAGACCGTCGAGGCTCCCATGTTTGGTTAAGAACGACTAAATAGCTAAAAGATAACATTGACCCAACTGTACTGGTTATTTTAGCTTTGATTCATTATGTTATGATAATAGGATAGGGGGAAAGCACTGAAAGTGTAATGTTTTACTTTAGTTGCTAGAAGGAAATGCCACATATGCACGGTATTGAACTTCCCTTCCCGTCCTTTACTGATATAATTTTGGTCATTTCACTAGGACGAAGATGTTTACACCTTTTTTGAGCCTGAGCTGCCTTCTGATGCGACAAGTATAACAAGAAGCAAGCCAACTGATGGACCAAGGTTACCTGCAGAGAGAAGAGCTGCTTTGAAACTTGCAGCAAGCAGAAGTGGGGCAAAATCATCTCAAACAAAGGCACAGCGACCATCACCAGCTCCTGATAGAAGAGCCGGAAATAGTCATAGCAGTGGGAGTTTGCGGCGTCCATCACCTGAAAAGATCTCCTGGAGCGTGCTTGATCTCAAAGGAGATAATTACTTCTCCTGCGCTGTTGGCCGGACTCGGACAAGTGCTCGATATTTACTTAGTTCATCGGATGATGTTGTCTCGTTTCTGAACAGACTAGCAAATGCCTCTTTTTCGTGCGATATGTTTTCAGGTTTATATGTGTAATGATCCAGCTCTAGCATTTGAAGACTCGGTGCAAGACAGATATGCTGCAGTCTATTGACACCATTCCTTCTTCAAACTCTGCAAACTGAAGAAAACTGTTCTTATCAACTTGCACAATAGAAAAATAGTTTTCAGGCACATGAGCCACAGAATTGTTCTTGGTCACTATATGTTGAAGGAAAACGATCTATAGCGACAAGTTTTACTCTATAATATTCATTCAAACATGGCATAAGTTTCATATGCCTAATGTAGTACTGCCAAACAACCATCGATGTCAAGGAGGATAAGTATATATGTATGACAAAAACAAGAGATTTCTCAGCTGACATAAGTTGAATTAAAATTGTTTTAACAAGTGGTGACAAAAAAAAAAAAAACAACTGTTGAACTTTGTAAATGACCCAAAATTTAGTTAATAGCCAATGAGATTGTTTCACCACTTTATCATTACTTTTCTAAGCAGTTACTATTACTTTTCAGATTAATACGTTTATCTATGTCTCATCATTTAGAATTTGAATTAAGACACAAGTTTTCAAATTAAATGATATAAAAGTTTTAATATTAAAAATGGGATAATGTCCCATATAGCTCTTCAACTATTGTATTTGTTCTAATATAGTATTTAAACTAAAAAATTTTTAATTAGGTATTTAAATTCTCGATCCGTGTATTAATATAGTTTAAGACTTAATTCCGTTAGTAAAGTAGTTGACTTGGCCATTTTAGCTAATAAAAACATAACATCTGGTCACAAAATAACATATCATCTTAAGTGGTTGCTTAAATGTTATGCTTATGCGGTAAAAAAATGATTAAGTAAAAACTTAAATTAAAACAATTACTAACCCTAAACTGAAGTAAAAAAAAAATAAAAACCAAAATCTTATCTGAAAAAAAAAAAGAAACCAAAATTATTCTTTTGTCAGTAAAAAACAAAAAAAAAAACCTAAATAATCTCTAAGAATTTGATGGAAAGTACGTTAAGTTTTAAAGTTTTAGGTTAGATTTGATCACAAAATCTCATATAAGTACTGGATTTCTTCATTGGAACAAGACAAGTCAGGAGCATCGATTGGTATGAAGAGATTGTGGAGTATTTTGATTCAATTTTGTGGAGCATAGTCAAAATTTGATTTGGAGTTGAAAATATTTAAGATGTGCTGAATTTTTTATTCATTGGTTTTAGGGTTTCGTTTTTGAAAAATGATGATTTTTTGTTTCAAATGCTTTTATATTCAATGGTTTAATTTAGGGTCGTATTCATCTTTATGCGGGCATAGCACTTCATTTTAGTTAATATTTGCATGTTGGACTTTGTGTTTAGATGTTGTGATGTGGTCCCAGTTTGTTTGCATGATTGTATTTTTTATATTGTTAAAGTTTGGTTTATTCTATTTTTATTGTTTTTTATGCAGCTAAAGTAATGCCTTTTATAATGCTTCTTTTACACATGCATTTGGGTGAGAACTTTATAGTAAATTCAAAAGTAAGATATGTGGGTGGACATGTAAATATATGGAATGCAGTTCTTGATATGATTTCATTCATTGTATTGTGCAACATGATAAAAGAGGTTATGTATGGTAATACTAGTATGTTTTATTATTTGACACTAGGATCTAGTATTGAGGATGGATTAATATTATGCTATGATAATGCATCATTTATTATGATGATGGATCATATAAAGGCAATAAGAAAGAGTTTGGGATTGATACATCTGAAATTGTATATGTGGATCATATAATGCATCATTTATTATGATGATGTATATGTGGAACATGGGATTGATACACCTGAAATTGTAAATGATATAACATTATTGTTAAGTCAAGAGCATAATGGGGAGGTTAGGAAAGACAATGAAAGGGATCATCTAATATAAAGGATGGAATTAATAAAGACATTAATTTACAAGAGGGTGCAAATATTAATAGGATAGATGATAATAATGTAGGTGGGTGACCTGACAGTGATAATAATTTGGGATATGCATTTGTACAATTCATAGTAGTTGAGAAAAGTACACATGAAGGTTCATGTGAAAGTGCAAACGAAAGTAACTATTTAAACAATGACAAAGAACCATTTGCAGAATGTGAATGGGGATCAGATAACGATGATGAGGAAAAACAATCAATTATAATAACTTACAATAAGTTTAAAGACAAAAGAAAAAATAAAGCAGTGAAGAGTAATGAAATCCCATCAAAAGTAAAGTTTGAAGGCCTTTTGTAAGAGATTAAGAGACAAAAGAAAAAAGCAAAGCAGAACAAGGTAGGTGAGAATAGCAGAGCTAGGATAAACTTTATAGACGATGATGATACAAATTACATGGACTCTTCAAACATAGGTAGTTATGAGAGTTGTAAATATGAGAGGTTATATGTAAGAGAAGTAGTAAGAAATACTTTGACCCTTTATATCTATTTCCTAGATTTGAGATTGGCATGATTTATGGTCCAAGACAATTTAAGGATGCATTGACCAAACATGCAATTGCAAAAAGGTTTGATTATAAATACCTTAAAAATGAAAAACATAGGGTTAACATTATTTATAAGCATAAGGATTGTCAATTCCTCATTTATGCTATGAAAGACAATTATGTTGGGTTGTTCAAGTTGAAAACATTAAGAAATGAGTATCAGTGTACTATTACCTAAAAAAATTCAAGAGTAAACTATAAAGTGCTAGCTGATCATTTTTTTAGAAAGCTTAGGATTATTCTTGACTTGAAATTGATTGAGATGAAAAGGCTTACCAAAGAAGAGTTAAATATTGATGTCACAATAGGAATTTGTAGGAATGCTAAATTGAAAGCTTAAGAAACTATTAATGGTAGATATCATTTTAAGTTTTCAAGGTTGTTTGATGATGTTGCTACTCTAAGAAAGGCAAAACCAAAAAGACATGTAGATTTGGTGGTTGAACGACCTACACCAAATCATAAACCAAGATTTTTGATGTTGTATGTTTGTTTTAGTGCACTTGGGGAAAGGTTTAATAAATATTGTAGGCCTTTGCTATGTGTAGATGGATGTTCTCTAAAGGGATCTTTAAAAACTAAACTTTTGGTTGCTATTAATAAAGATATCAATGATCAAATGTATCTTATTGCTTAAGCACTTATATAGGTGGATAATAAGCATACATCAAGATGGTTTCTGTATAACTAGAAAGTTGACTTGAAATAAAAGATGATGCTAGATTCACTATCATGAGTGACATACAAAAGGTATGTATGATAATTATACTATTTTATGTTGTCAAGGTTGGTCACAGTTTTAAATGTTTAATTAACTTTTTTCATTTACTTTTGTAAAGTTTATGTGATGCCATAAGTTTTGTCATTTCTGAAGTTGAAAAAGCAAATGAACTTAGAGATTTGAAAGGGTATAACATTAACTGATATCTCAAAAAAAAGTCTAAAGCATTGGTCAAAGGCATATTTAAGTACTAGATGTTTGTTCGATGTTATGGATAACAATATAGCTGAGGTATTTAATGCTATGATTATTCATGTTAGGCATATGTCCATCATTTCAATGTTTAAGGAAATTAAGCATTATGTGATGCAAAGAATTATTGACAATATGACTAGATGTGCTAAGTAGACTAAATTGCTATGTCCTAAAATTTGTGAGAAAATAAAAGAGCATAGGAAATTTAGTGCTTTTTGTCATATTATATGGAATGGTTCAAATGGATATGAGGTTGAGTGTCGTAAGGATAGATAAGTGGTAGACATAAGTGAGAGAAAGTGCATATATAGGTCATGTGATTTGACTGGGATACCATATCCTAATGCCATATGTGTTATAATTTTAAAGAAGGAAAAAATTAAAGAATATGTTGCACATGTATATAAGAAAAATATATATAAAAAATGTTATAGTTGTGTGCTACCACCTATTCCTTAAGATAAATTTTAGCCTACCATGCACATAGGAAATATAAAGCCACCACTACCTAGAAAAATGCCTGGTAAAGCAAAAAAGAACAGAAATAGGAATGAGGGTAAAATTTTAAATGGGATAAAATTATCAAAAAAAGGAAGAAAGCTAAGGTATCGAATCCGTTTCAAGTTTGGTCACAATTTAAAAAATGTCTACACAAAAATGTAAGTTATAATCTACTTATTGGATTTTATGTTTAATTTACAACTTACAAGATAGTAACATAAGACAAGTTGAAAATAGGAATGCACTTATGCCTAGTTCACCTGAAAGATCAAAATACCATATCACAGTAGTAGCCATACCACTTAGAAGAACTATAGTAGCAATAGTAGTGACAGCACCTAGATGGATAGCAAAAGCAGTCACACCACCTAAATGGACAATAGAAACAAGCACACCACCTAGATGGATTACAGCAACAATAGCAACCAAACCTCTTAGAAAGACTATAGCAATAGCAATAACCACACCACTTAAAAAGACTACAGTAACAACCACACCATTTATAAAGGGTACATCAACACCTTCCAAATGGATTACAACAACTACAACATCCACAAAGACTACAGTAGCCACACCATCAAGATAGACTATAGCAGTCACATAACAGAGAAATATAATAGCAACCAATGTAGTATTAAAAGCCACACGACCTCAAAAGTTAGCTCTTCAAATAGGAAAACAAAAAATTATGGAAAAACTTTTAGCATTTGGAACCAATGGGAAAAAAATTATACAAGGAATGAGAATATATGTTAATGAAAAAATAGGATTATAGATATTAAATGTAAGGCTATTTTATTATGTAATTTTTGTTTTGCTATTAGATTGTTTAGGATTTTATGTATCTATGCTAATGAATGAAATTTTATCAAATAGCTAAGATTAAAAGGACAGATGTTGATCTCTACTTCAAATAGTGCTAAAAGTGCATCAACATCAACAACAGCTATAGATGTTTTTTGAATAAAGAGATTCAGGGCCATTTAGATGATGTTATTGGATATGAAGATGAAGAATCTAGTTTTTCCAAGGTAACCTATTTATATGTGTTATTATAATACCAAACTTTTATTCATTATTTGGTAATATTTTAATGGTTTCAATACAAGATTGAAGAAATGACTTACTGGACCTTAAGAGGAAGAGAAAAAACTTTAACAGTACTTGATGACACTTTATCTCTTTTACATGAGATACAAAGTACACAAGAAAGCAATGTTGGGAACAAAAAGTGAAAGCGCACCAAATCTAGTAACACTTCCAAGAACTAATACGAATGCTATTTTTGAACATGATACCTTTTGTAATTTTTTTGTAATTTTTACTTATGATAGAAATGAATGTTGTTTCTACTCTTTTTTTATATTCATGATCAATTTATTTATGTAATGAGCAGTGATGAAAGTACACTGTTAGATGTTGTATGAATTGGTTTCATCTTGTTTATGAATCAATGATGGATATAAATCAATGAATTGGTTTCATTTTGTTTATAGTGTGTTCATGCTCGATAACTCAAATTAAATAAAAAAAACTATCAACTTGAAATGTTGCTTTCATTTCATTAATTCATTCTTAAAGTAGGTTAGAACAAAATATATAATAGTTCACAAATTCTTAAAATTGTTCAATCTAACATAAAATAAAACCTAAAATGAAAATGAAAAAAAATCATCTAAGATACCAGCGACACAATCTTATAATACCATATTAGTCTTCAACCCTTTGCTACCAAATCCTTGTATGATTCCTTTTTAATTTTCGGCATCCAAACATTATTCAAAAGCCTATTAATTTCATTATTATTGCAATTTTCTTTCAATGTAGTATTTTTTTTCCTTAACTCTTTATTCTCAATCAACAATTTGTCCTTTTCAAATCTCAATTCCTTAATCTAATTTGCATTTTCATTATCCAACTAATGCTCATCTTTAATCCATTAAAAAAATCACAATTCACACTTTACAAAACGTTAAAAGAAACAAAATTATTTTTATCCATCAACACAAGACCAACTCCACATAAATTAGCAAATTTTATGAAAAACCTCTTTAAACTTTCCACATCTATAAAAATTTCTTCCTGGATTCTTCAATGTTGTTGACCTACGAATTAGAGCCATTACTCCACAACAACAATTGATTAAAGTAAAATGATTTCTTATTCTCGACCTGCAACTTGATCATGACTGTCTAGAATGTCCACTTCTCTTTGATAAATTTCAACAAAACTTTCAAATCTTATTTCTGCCATCTTGCCTTCTTTGTTTGCCATTGATTTCGTGAAGCTAACAGCTTCAATTTCTCAAGCCAATAGCTTCAAATTTATTCAAATTTCATAGTGTTTTTCGAATTTAAGGTTTACGGTGGCATGGGTATTTAATTTAGGGGTTTACGATTTAAGGGAAAAGTAAATTACAATAATATTATGGTTTTTTCTTCAAAATGTCAAATCTTTTACCACATAAGTATTACAAGTAATCACTTAAAATAAGGTCACTTTATGGTTAGATACTAGTTTTTTATTGGCTAAAATGGCCGAGTCAACTTCTTTACTAATGAAGTTAAGTCTTGGACTATATTAATATAGGGATCGAGAATTTAGGTACCAAATTAGAAATTTTTTTAATTTAGATACTACATTAAAACAAATACAATAGTTGAGGGATTATATGGGACATTATCCCTTTTATAATTATCAGGATTTAAATTTGAGTTTAATATTTTGTTGGATTTATCAGTTTAGTTTTTCTCTATCCAAGCCCGACCCAAATACATTTATAAAGAGAAATCCAAGCCTGCCAGCCTACCCAATATATAGCGGGTTTGTGGGCTAATCTTCCTTCATCAAACAAAGAATTTTCTCCATCGCCTCAACTATTCGAGAAACCAGCACCGGTGGGATGCAGTGCAGCTGTGCAGGTATTTCTTTTCTTTTTTTTTAACCTTTTTGCCTACTTTCCACTTTCCCATTTGTTAAAAAAAAAAAAAAAGCTGGGTATTGGGTTGTTTCTGTTGCTTCCAAAGAGTGGAAATGATCAACCTTTACTCAAGTTTGCATTCTTTAGTTTTAGAGTCTTGACTGATTGGCAAAGATTGTAATCATGCTATGTTGCAATGGGGTTTTTATAATTTTATTCATTTACAATTAAGAAAATACTTTTAAAATTTCTTGCTTTTCAATTGCAGGTGGTTTTTAGTGACAGAAGGGTAATTTCCGTGGCAATGAGTTGAGACTATTATGCGTGAACTTTCATTCTTTTTTTTTTTTTTTCAATTTGGGATAAAGCTTTGTAGTGTTTTTCTAGTAACATGTACAAGGTTAGTCAAAATTCGCTATTGTTTCGAAGATTGTTGCATGCATTATCCCGTGATGGCCCTTCCGAAATCTTGAAGAAAAAGGTTGCTGAAATGGAGAAGAGGAAGAAAAGGAGGAATCCCAAGAAGGATCAATTGTTTGTGGAGGTTCCGGAGTCGAGATCCTTTCTTGATACGGCATCACTGCAAATGGTTCTTACTGTAGCTGGAGTTGCACTTTTTGCAAAGCTGCTTATGATGGTTTGTTCTTTCATTCTCTGTTTAACTGGAATTCTCTTTGTTTACTTCCCATTGTTGGTAATTTGATGACTGCTTCTAGTTAGTCTTAGTCATGTTTCATAAGATTTTCAGATTCAATTGGCAGCCCTAAAGGTGCAAAGTTGAATATAAATATATATTGTTATAGATGGATAATGCAGTTTGGAGTTAAATAACAGATTTTAAAAGCATTTAATTCTGGAAAATTTTTCTTGATTCATAGTTCAAAGATTCATATTGATTATGTTGTCAGTCTAGCTAAACCTCCAGACTTCATAACTTCATTCTGCATAATGACTGAATGGAGGGTATCAAGCAAAAAAAAATATGGATCCAGAAATTATACACCAATTATAGAAATGGATTTTTATTTATGTGGTATTTTTAGTCACATAGTGCTCTTGCCTAAATGAAGCAGGATGTAAGCCTCGCAAAATCACTCATCGCAAAATCACTCATCATAACACTTCAATTTATCTGTTTTGAGGGTTTATGCTTCTTCTTCTGACTGGAAACATGTCTCAAGGACTGCTCTCTTTTAGTACTTACTACGAAGTAAAGAAATTATTGATTGATATTTTGACCACTGACAGCATGACGAGTCAAAGTCCCAGGAAATGATTGAGCGAAAAATAAAGAATGCTCCTCCTGGTCAAGGCACTGTGAGGATGCTTACTCGTGAGGAGTGGGAGGAAATTAGAGAAGTGAGACCAAGAACTCCTTTTGAATCCAAGCTTGCTCGTCCAAATGCACGAATAAGAACTGGAGAACCATTGCATATGGTAAGCCAAGAAGTGTTTGGTACTTAATTTGTTTATGGATGAATCTATGAATCTGTTCTCTTTTCTTATTGATGGTACTATCAAATACCTTATTTATTATGTTGTTAATTGTTGTATGGCTACTTAATTTCAACATTTTCCCCTAATATGTGGCCACAAATAATACATTTATCCAAGATGATGATGTCTCTGCTTGATATGATTTCATAACCTGATTCTTCCTTGTGAATTTGATATTCTGTTCTTCTCAGAAACCTGTGTATAAACAACACTCTGAGCTTGTATTTCCTGTCATATTGATCATATTCTTCCACCTTTTATGAGTCTTAGTTTGAAATTGGTTGCAGGCTTTAGATTTTTCTAATCAAATTTTTACATCATACTTTAACACAACTGCTTAGTGCAAATTTGTGATGGGAAAGTGAAAGCTTTACACTGTCTAAAGCTATAGGTAGACATCCCTTACATTGAACACTTGCGAACATCACGCATGTAGGTGCAGCTCCTCAGCTCAACAGAAATGTTAGCCCTTGACAACACATTGGTACATGTTTGTCACTGTATCGATGTTTCTTTTTATCTGTGTGTGTGTGTGTGTGCGCCATATCCTACCAGAGAGCTTTACACTTAGTCATAAGCATCGGGCATCATCAAGTTTTCCTTGGATAATGCTTTTGTCCATGCCTTTTGTTTAATGGCAACTAGATAGACTATGGCATGTTGTTGCAAGAGCTTTTTATTGCTGCATTGAATGCATCAAGATGATTTTCAAAATATTGCATTAGCTAATAAGCTGCAACAGAGGGACCCCAAAATGCTTGTATTGCTGATTGTCTTCTTGTATGTAGGAGGACTTGAAGAATTGGACAATTGATGTTCTTACAGATGCACTTACGCGAGCTGAAGACTGTGCTAAACGCAAGTAAAACTGATATTAGGCAAGAAGACCTTTGCAAATTCTTTCCCTTGTGTACAAGTACAATTCTTCAATGGAATTGAAAACCTTTAATGATTTTGATGCCTAATGTGAGTAATTATACATATCTGCCTATGGGGACATGGTTCAAAGGGATTTGCATGGCATCAAACTATAGCCAATGAATGATTTGATCTTCAGCAGATTTATAGAAGCATATAATATGTAGCATGTCATGATATCAGCATGGTTTATCTGAAAAAAGGAGAATGTTTACCTTTGTACAACTTTGATTTTTTTTTTAATTTTAAATTTTAATAACTGTTCTGCTAGAAATAATTTAGCGTCATTTAGTATTCTGATATCCTGATGTTCCTTCTACAGTTAGAGCAAATGATGCTAAGCAACCTTGAAGTTTTTATTAAGGGGATTTGAATTTAAGATCCAAAGTTTGAAAGTTTTTCCTTTGGATGAGCCTATTTCCCATGCATAATTTGGCTATTTTTGCACAAATATAAGTTATTATGTGAGTAGGCAGGTGGGACTTTCATGTAAGTAAATGTGATTTATTTACATGAGAGAAAAATTGAGCATGAAAATAGGGTTATCCTTTCCCTTTCCCTTTTACCATAGATGTGATGAATACAAAATATTTCTCGAATTGTCAAAATAATTGACCTATTCCCTGCACCTGCCAAAATGTTGAAAATTTTAACAATCTAAATCAATTATGCATATGATAAACTCTGATTATGTAAATGAAATGATGCTTTTTATAAGTTCAAAAGCTAATTGAGTAGTGCTTGCTTTTTATTCTCAAAAATATGAAGTAGGATAAAACTTTTAGTTTTAATACATTTATTTCACTTATATGTAGAAGTGTTGTATTAAATTTCTAAATTTTAATCATTCATTTAGTTTAAATCAAATATGCGTGTGTGTGTGTGTGTGTGTTCTTTTTTTTTTTTTTTTTTTCTAATCTTTACTTTTTTTTTATCCCTCTGAGATAAAAAAACAACTACCAAAATGCAATAGAAAATAATTGTGGTAGTATCATATACATATTAATATAGGAGAAATTATTTCATAAAACTTTTTAGACTCTACAAACTAGTAAGATGATTCAAACGAATTTGATAAAGTGACACATACTTTTAAGGTATATTAAAAATTAAAAAAAAAATTAATTAAAAAATAAAACATGCATTAGTCTCTTAATTTCGATTGTGAAATTAAAAAAAATTTAATATATTAAAAGTGAATATAATATATATATGTGCAACATAGTATTTAATTTAATAAGTTTAAGGCCTTTTTTTTATTGATAAGCATCTCATCAAAAAGGAAAACAAAATGAAACATCAATGTAGTATTTGTGTACAGCTTGATCAGATTCTAGTTCATTTTTGTTTCCTTTTTGTTTTTCAAGTTAACGAGTAATGTATGAAAGATTATTGGCATTGGATCGGTTCCTTCGTTGTCAATGGCAGCTAGTACTTAAAAGGTTACTCTTTCAAGCTTTTAAAGCCTGGAAACAGGTAGGCCACTCATTAACGCTACCCAATCATATATATCTTCCATTGCCTAAACCAAATAGTACTATGACTAAGCAAATTAATTTTAGTAAAAAGGAGATAAGTAGTGTTATTTGACAAAGTTAAAAGGTTGTCTTCCTTTGCTCTCTTGGTTTAACAAATTGAAACTAAAAAGTGGTAATGTTTAGATGTAAAAGTAGAAGAAAATAACTTTCAACCAAAATTAATGAAGTTGCATGGGCATCAATAATGTTCAAGTTCATATTACTTCTACTTATTCTAGAGTTAATACGGTTCCCTTTGTTCTTTATGATATCCTTCCATTTGTAAATTATAACCAAAGTTGAAGAAGGTGGGCAGAAAAAGAAAGAAGGATAAATTGTAACAAATGGAAGAGGTTTGCAAATGAAAGTTTAAATAGGAAAAAAGGTGTAAATTTTTTTTTTTCAGAGGGAAAGGAGTGCAGTATACTGAGTTCATTAATATGTTGTACTTCAATTTTTTTTTTCCTAGTTAAGCAGGAAGCCGTACTTCAGTTCTAACTGCACAAAAGACAATTGAAAGACTCAAATCCATTATTATTCATTCATTTGAATAGGAGATAAAAGCAATTTCTTCCATTAAAGACTAGTACATGAGTGTTGAAGCCATAATATTCAACTAATGAAATGCAAAAATAATACACCTGCCAGCCTGCAGATGACACAAAATGTAATGTAGCTATAGAAAGTTTCTTCAAAGAAGGAACGCTAAGCAAACTAGGATACAATTCTGGTGCAGATAGTAAGAAAGATGAAAAGCCTAATACCTTATAGTTTGAGTAAAATTAATGAGGAGGAAGACAACGGTAACAAATGAATCAAACTGAAAAGATATTCCTAGCCATAATACTAAATGCAGAAAGAAGAGGTCAATACTGAGGTTCTATAGCTGAAACATGCTTATAAGGCTCAGGTTCTCTTGTTGGATTCAAAGACATACTTAATCAGTGATTCCTTGATTGGTAACAACTCAGGGAACTCTTTCTTCAACTTGGATGCATCCATCTCATTATTGCTTCGAGGGGCAACTATTACCTTGGCTTGTTCTTCCAATGTGAAGTTCACCCACTGAAATTTGGGGTCAATGTAAGTCTTGTACATCTCCAGGATCTCATTGTGGCTCACAACCCCAGGGTTAGTGAAATTCCATATACCCCTCAAGTTCCTCTTTGCCATCTCAATAGAAATTGGTAGAAGTTCATCCAAGATTGTCATGCTGTTGGGAATATTTACCACCTTGTTGTAGCGTGAAATCTTGGTGATGAAGTTGCGTGGGTTGTTCAGGTCAGATGAGATTGGCATTCGAACTCTGAGGGTGCACACATTGTCATACTCTTTCAACAGCTCTTCAACCTGAAACAAAAAATAGAGGCAATTTATGAGCACTTAGGACATAAATTAACAGAAAATGGGAATCAAATTAAAGATATCCAAAGTAGTTACCATAGCCTTGGTTTTTGAATAGAATGAACCCGTGAAATTGGGTTTGTCTTCCTCTTTAAACCCAATGCCAGAACCCTCAGGGTGTCCTGCATCATACTCAAATATACACCCCAGTCGCGAAATTCATCATCAAAAGCCCATGCTCTCTGCAAACATCTGCCAAGGTCAAGGTTCCAGCCACATTGGTGCGAATTGTTTCTGTTTTGTGAGATTCACACCAATCAACATTGGGTCTACCAGTCACACCAGCAGCATTGAAAACATGGGTTGGCTTTATACTTTGAATATCTTGCATAAGTGATGAACGAACTTCCAAGCGTCCTCTTCCATATTCAAAGGTAATACCTTGTTTCTCACATAACTGACCAAGTAGACCTCCAATCCAGCCAGTCCTGCCATAGATCAAGAACTTAAAGGCTGGTTTTTGGGGAGAGCCACTACTTTTGGAAGTTGGAATGACCATTCGGGTCTGATTAGGACCACTTATAAATGATGTACTTTTTCCCTCTTCAGAATCAAAGTGTCTACCACCAGGCATCATCAGCATTCTTGGGTGTGGAAGCAATGCGCCAGACACATCACCCCACCAATCAGGATTTTGGGTGTACCATTCTATGGTCTTCTTCAGCCCCTCTTCCCATACAGTTCGCTCAGACCATCCCAAGTTCTTGAGTTTCTGATCATCAAGAAAATACCTCTGGTCATTGAATGGTCTGTTTTCAACAAACTTGATGCTTGTCTCTGGATCCATTGAGAAAAGTTTGCATATATCTTTGGCTACATCAATCACTCTCCTTTCCTTCTTTGTTCCAATATTATAAACATGGCCAACTTCACCCTTGTGAAGAATGACTTCAAATGCCTCAGCCACATCCTCACAGTATAGATAACTCCTCACATTAGAACCATCCCCATGAATTGGAAGAGTCTTCCCCCTCATTGCTAAGAGGATAAACTTTGGAATTAATTTTTCAGGGAACTGGTTGGGACCATAAACATTGTTTCCACGGGTTGTAATCACAGGTAATCCATATGACCTACCATATGCCATAACAAGCATTTCAGCACCAGCTTTTGTTGCAGAGTAAGGATTTGTTGGGAGAAGTTGGGAAGCCTCATGGTTTCCTACAACAGCATCCTCATCTGTCTCCCCATAAACCTCATCTGTGCTCACATGGATGAACCTCCTGATCTGGCCAGTGACTTTGCAGGCTTCAAGCAGGACATGAGTGCCATAGATATTGTTCTTAGTAAACTCAAAGCTGTTCCCAAATGAGTTATCAACATGAGTTTGGGCTGCGAAGTGCATTATTGTGTCAATAGACTCAGTGATGAGAAGGTAGTTAACAAGATCAGCACTGCCGATGTCCCCCTTCACAAACTTAAAATTTGGAGATGACTTGGATGGAAGGAGGTTTTTCAGGTTCGAGCAGTAATCAAGCTTGTCAAGCACAACAATCTTGTAGTCTGGGTAATTCCGAATGAGCCGATTGGCGACATGTGATGCAATAAACCCAGCAGCCCCAGTTATGAGGATGTTCTTGGGGGTATAAGCAGCCATAGTGAAGCCAATTCTACAAAAATAAGAAACAACACAACCTACTTTCAGAAGTATGGTAAAAGGTAATAAAAATCAGCACCAACTTGCATAAACAAATACATAAAAAGTAAACACAGAATCCAGGATCAAACCTAAAATAAACATGTAAAAATCGAAAAGCAAATAAAGACAAACAAACAATAAAGCACCGACAAATTGAGTTAGCAAAATTCAATCTCAACAGAAGATTCCACCAGATCTCATTCTATATAAATAAAATAAGAAGAAAAAGAAACATTAAAAACAGATCTGCTGATGACATAGGTGGATCATGCCATCCAATGTAATCAAATGACATTACCTCATTTTTTTTTTATTTACTTTGGTTCATCAAATTAAACTTGAATTTATCCACAAAACTATTCCAGCATCTCGTTTTCCACAGAAATTGACCAATAAACTATCTAAAGCTCCCATTTATCTTTTCTTTCCTCAAGTCAATGTTTGCAATCAAAGTTCAACCAACAAAGAAAATGATCCATGACCTTATCAACAAGATCCACCATAATTACCAGATCCAATGTAAATAAAAAATCACTTTCAAAATGTGAGAAAACGATCAGATCTTTTAAATTTCATTTCATTTCTATTATAAGAGAAGGAGATCCAGATCCAATTAATAAGCAAATAAATGTAGTCAAAGTAACGGCTAACAAAGCAAACCAAGACATGAAATTTTCTCACATTTTAGAACAGATCTAAGAAAATTAAGAAATACCCAGATCATAAAATAGCCTCAATTAATCGAAAAAAACACCAAAGTTTGAAAAAAACACAATCATCGATCACATTTGATCTTGCAGCAAATCACACCAAAAAATGAAAAAACTTCGACTTACAAGATGAAGAGAGAACAATCAAAATCCCGATAGAAAAAGAGAAGCACACAAATCTAGAGAGAGAAGGCTTGAGAAAGAGAACGAGAG